GGAGGGGTGTATTATAAATTCTTTAAATTATCTTGAAGACAATTTCATCCGATTTCTGTGTACAGGTATGTATGTTAATAGTTCTTCTTGCAATGTCCCTGTGGGAATCATCCTCCTGCTTTTCCACCCCATGCTTTAATCTTCTGCTGTAATTAGTCAGCTAAATGAAGATTTTTTTCCGTTTGGAACCTTAAGTTATATTAATTAATATGCTGCTTCCAACCTACTTTTGTAGAAATTTTTGTCTGGAAGCTCTTTGATCTTTCTCACGAGACAGAACTTTTCTAATTGAAGAATGTGTCTAAATCTTACTTGACTTTGGCTTGAATAACTGAAAACATTTAGTCCAGCATAAAAATGTCTAATTTGGTTGTTACACGTACATTTGCCTGCTAATGCTACACTTTTATCTTTTGACAAGTGACTTCATTAGACAAAGAAAAAAAAACCCTTGTCTGTTGCTGCATCCATGCCATTTAGAAGTAGCTGTAAAGTTTCCTCACTTTTATCCCATCTAGTGAACTCAGGAGATGGAATTGATTACAGTCAGCAGAAACGTGAAAATGTTGGCGACCTCATCCAAGAAACATTGGAAGCATTCGAACGCTATGGTGGGGAGGATGCCTTTATCAACATCAAATACATGGTACCAACATACGAGTCTTGCATGCTGAACTAAGAACTTTGTCTCATAGCTTTCATTAGTACTGTCATTTCGAATATCAGGTGAGGGCAGCTGAAAGTGAGACGTTCAGATATTGCTCACAGTGTGCTTTGTATGAAAGTAAGAAAAACAAAGCATCTATGATGAAAGTTGGAACACAGTGTGTCAGAAGCATTTGGTGTGCAGAAATTTCTTTAGTGCTGATAAAATCTGACACATTAATATAAAAATATATACATGTATGTCTCCTGCTCAGCTACAACTAATTTGCCATGCTTCACCCTCTCTCCTTTGAAAGCTCTCAGCTTACTCACCTCTAGGGTTGTATATAGTTGCTTTGAAGGAATAAATGTGATAGGAAAAAGAAGTCATGCGGTGGCGCGTTGTGATCAATTTTGGTAAATGTTGATCATGACAGAAGTGCCATTGCTCCAAGCCAAAAAGATAATGAAGTACTGTTTGCTACAATATGTTTCAGTATGATTTTGACAACTTGAGAGAACTGCTCCATTGGCTTATACATTGTTTGGAATGCTGTCTATAGTTTCAAAAAAGAGAAATTTACCTCTTACTCGTTTATATCTCTAGACTTTACATCCATGAGCATTGTCCGATGTTTCACCATATTGTATGTATCTATATTTTTTGGACTAATTCAATCATATAAAGTTTTTTGGTGATGTACTGAGATCTGTGATAAGGGTGTGTGCTGTATGAGAGGTTTCAGTCTGTCAAATCATTTTCATCATATCCCTAGAGAGCTTTTATGTAATAGTACAGTAGGCAAGCAACAAGCACATTGTAGGAAATAATGTTACTGTTTTCGGAATTTACCATAAAAAGATCTCAAGATTAACCCATTATAACTTGTAGCTACTAGGGTATTTTTTTGCTTAACTTAGTAAAATGACATGAGTGCATGTGAAAAATGTGCATTCACTGAGATTCACAAAGTGCATTATTTCATTATTTGTGGCGCAATATTCCCTGATGAACTAGAAACAGAGGTGGGAAATTATTGTTTGCGGATTGGGTTTTTTTTGTTTGTTTTTTATTCAATTCAGTATTGATTGATTCACCTTTTTTTTAAAATCATGAATAACTGTGACTACATGAAAGTTGAGTATGTTACCTCTGTGTGAGAAAGTGGAAGTGGGAACAATAAATTTTGTACATATGATGTGGTCAGTGAGTGATTTCTTTTTCTCCTTCTTGTTATGTGCTGTATATTTTACAGTGCACATTCTTAACGTGCTGATTATCTTGTTTTTTAACAGACCTCACTAGAAACAGTCGCACTATAAGAAGAAACCATTTCCGATATCAATATTGTGTGGTAGTCACTTTAAAGAAATATTTATAAAACTGACTTTGTACTTCAGATAAATCTGTGACAAATAAATCCAGAAATTCAGAACTATGATGGGCAGTGTGTACTGATGAAATAACCAAAACACTATTTTGTACAGAAGTTGTGTCACAGTTTTGAAAAATCATTATGACAGAATAAACAAATTGTTATCTCAAATTCCTGCTGAGTAATTTGAGAGAAAGTGCTTGACGTTCCTACAAATTTTGTCTTTCTACTCTGAGTTTAAACATTATGCACTTATTTATTGATGAAATGAGGAATAGTAAAGTTCATACAGAAAATTAACTTAGGAGAGAATGAATATATAGTAGTCTCCGCCAAAACGCACATCGTACAAAAGCACGCTCAGCCCAAACGCACACTTTCATCATCTGACAGGTTTTTTACCATATAATTTAGACATACAAACGCACGGTCACTCCCTCTACAAGCACACGAAACAGGCCGACAGATTGAGCTGGACAAGGGTAAATTTTTGCTGCAACCTACACAGCTTGCATAAGACAAGCCTAGAAAACAGGATATTTGGTGAGGCTGCCCCTCATACCGAAAAAAGAGAGTGATGGACAGCGTTTTCATGCCCAACTATCCACGGACTCATAGTTCTAGGACTGGTCAGTGAAATGTTGAGGAGGGCGGCTGGGAGGCTGAAATGTTTAATTGGCCACTGGAAATGCATCTTTGAGAGAAGGGTTTGACTGGCGTTTAGGTGACTGTATTTAATGTTTAGTTAGACCTAGGCCTATGATGTGCAACACGTGTAAATGCTGTAAAATACTAGATAGACCTCTATAGGATTAAAAATTCGTCAAGTAAGCCTACTCAACTTCGCTCGAAGAACTTATGACGTACTTGTTCAACGAATACAAGAGAATTGTTTTTTTGAATATATAATAGAGATCTATGATTCTGATGTCGTCCATGAATTTACGGTCGGGGGTGGTCGCTTCGAAAGCCACGTGGCTCCGTCGTCGTCTCTATGACTATCACCAACAGTTTCCTCTTAGGCTATCTGTTCCCAACATTTTATGGTGCATATGATTACATTGAGTCTGTCTTTTCTGCCTCACGTCTTTGTATTCTTAACCGCAGTCGGGGAATCCTTCTCAAAACAGTCACGTGTCGTCACATTATTCATAATCGCCAAAATGACCCCCCACTTTCCAAGGGAGGTCACTTAGATGACTGCGTCCCTTCCTCCTTTTGCACAGGTTCATGTACAGTAAATGCACGCTCCGTATAAACATACGCTAAGAGCCTTCCCGAGCTCCGTGCGTTTAGGCAGAGACTACTGTACATTGAAATATGAAATGTTTCTTTTTGAAAGATGACATTTTAAAGGAATTTGTAAAATGGCTTGGAAAAGCAATTTTGCAAACTATGGAGAAAGAGTTAGGAGTAGGAAGAAAATGGTTCTGAAATGTTTAGCTGAGTTGAACCTTTAGTTTTATTATGCAATAAAAGCTATATAGCGCTAGAAAAATGCAAGATGAATAGAAACTACTGAGGAAGACAAGAATAGAATGTACGTATGTTTTAGTTTTAGTTTTAGTAGAGGTTTTATTGCGCTCGTAAATGCATAAGATCAGAATTTACGTATAATAGAGACCCCAGGTGTTGAAAGTAGACAGGAAAGGATAACAAAACCATGGATAAGCATGTAAAGGCAATGTTTCAGGGAATAAAAGTGCTGTAAGCAATGTGGACATTTCAAGAACATGATTTAGGGGAACTTTTTTCTCAGAGAAATGACATGCTGGACGTAAGGTAGTCAATAGGTAAATTATTTAACAAAAGAGAAATACTACTACTCAAACGGTCATGGAAACAACAGATGAAGACTAAAGAAGTAGGGTGGGCCAGATACCAGTGCAAGCCGTCCTCTGGACTCGGTGAGAAAGATTGAGAAGTTGCTTGGCTGTCCATCCCTCCTTAGCAGAGATGAGATGTAGTGATGGTTATGTTTTCCATTGTCATATAGTATGGTAATCAGGAAACGACAAATGCAGTTTTTGGGACACCTGAATAGACATAAGGGTCTTGAACATCTAGCTCTCACTGGCAAAATTGTGGGCAAGCGAGGCAGGGGTAGGCCCAGAACAACATACTTGGGGAATCTAAACAAATGGGTAACAGGGAAAGATCAGGGAAACGTGGCTTTTCTGAGAGCATCCGAGCAAAGGAATGAATGGAAAATCATGATCGCCGATGTCTGTCGCAGATCTGGCACTGGATGATGATGATGATAGTATGGTAAGCTGTGTTGAGCCAGCATGGCACTATTTCTTAGAAAAAGAAAGAATGAGCTGTTGAAATCGGGCAGCCAACCACCCAAATCTCGAAAGTCTATCCTGTAAGTGCAAGGTCACTATGATGAAAGTGGTGACAATGTAAACCTCAGACTGACTATATTGGAGAAACCGTGGTGAAATTAGGCACTGGTCAAAATAATGACATCGAAGAAGCTGACATTTTTCTTTCTGTTGGGCAATTTTTATAGAATTTTCTTCTTTCGGCTTAACATATTGTATGCAAATTTAAAAACTCATTTGTGCATTTTACTGAAAAATGTTGATCAAAAGCATTAAAAAAATGTTATTTGCAGTTTCCAAGGACACTCCAGCTTTGAAAATTGCCTAACTTTGGAGGCCATTTTCTCACTGAATTTACCTGACACCAGGTGACCCCACCTTAATCAAAACAATATAAATGGACAACTGTAATAACTTCATATGCCCAAAAAACTGACGAGTGCCTGATTCCACCAAGTCGTGACAGATAAATAGCTGTTATGAGAAAAATGAATGACTCTGAATGTGTCTGCTCGTCCTCTTTAGCAGGGTTAAATCATCACCTCCTCCTCTACCCCCCTCCCCCCCCCCCGAGATTGGAGGCCATCAGACAACCAGGGGCACTATGCTATAAGTTGATTGAATCTTTATCCAGTTTAGTTCCCAAGTGAAAGAGAGAAATCAAATTTAATGTCACAAAAGACAGTGCAATAAGCAAGCCACTTCAAAACTTGTTATATGTACTTCATGGGCCACGAAACATCCTGGGTTTAGAACCTGATCACTTGCATGTCAAAAAGACCAAAGGGTCTCTAAGCCTCCATGGTAGCAAATGTCTACAAGCTCAATTGTCTCTCCATCAGATAAAGACAGTCGCATATTACATTTGTACTTCAATAAAATCGATAACGCAGACATTTGCTTGTCTATTGAATGTAAATTGTGAAAAGGTTATGTATGCTCCAATCTACACAATTAAGATCATGTAGGGATTAGGAAAGGGGCATGTGTTAACACTGCTTACCAAGGCTAATCTTGACAGGAGTGGGATACAGCATCCCACAGAAAGAAGGAGATGCTAAAAATAATAACTTTCGTACTAGGAGAATCATCTTCTTCTCTGCATACCCCAATGCAGGGGTAGCCAACTGATTTTTATGTATGTGACTGTTTTTCTTACTTTTTTCAAGTAGCCATATTCTAACTTCTAAGGAACCCAACATTTTTTTTAAATACCGACAAGAGTATTTGCAGTCTTGGTAAAAATTTTAAACTTTACTTGGATGACATTTGAAGTCTACTCTTATAGATTTTAGGGCTACCAAGCCATCTTTTACAATAACATGTGCAACTTGCACTTGAGACCTCTGAGATTTTTTGCCCTCGTCTGAAAAGGCTAGGTGTTCAATCTTACCTACCTGAAGGTCTTTTTGGGGGGGGGGGGGGGGGAGGCGGGGGTTTCAGTTGGTAGGAAATTTTGAATTTTGCCCCGGTGGTGGCCAAAACCTACTCCTATCGATTCTAAACCACCAAGGGATCTTTAACATGCGCAACTTGAACAAGGGACCTCCCGAGATTTTTCACCCTTGTCCGAGAAGGCTAGGTGTAGATCTTTCCTACCACCCTAAGGTCAGGGATGTGGCTTAAAGACAGCATTCAGAAGGACCCTGGAGTAGCAATATATGTCAGGAGAACGGGACAGAGGAGCACAGAGGAAGTGGGGGGAAGTGGTGATGAAAATAGGTGACAGTGCAGGACTAGAGAACAGGAAAGGAGGACAAAGGATACAATTTTAGAGAAAGAATTTTTTAAACCGCTGGCACTGGCAATCTTTCAGTTCCAGAAGCTTTTGACTGAGAGGCGAACGCAATACCTCTTGTGAGACTCCACTCAAGAGTCAAACTCGCACTTTCTCCGAGGAACAGTATCCAATCATTAAACTACAGATGTCCATAAGCACTGCTATAAAAAAAATTTAATGCCTGGCATGGAAGGGTTTTCCTATGGTCAAATTTGGGGGTTCAGGTCACACCAACAGCCACATTATATCAGAACCATAGTAATGCTGAAAAGGGAGTAGAAAAAGCCAGTGGCAGGGTACACACCCAAAACAAATGACGACAAATACTTACACACAATATAATAAAACATGCACATATAAATGCAGTACAAAGATCCACGTTATTAGTAAACAATTTTTATTTACACTGATCAAATGACATGTTCTCCAAAAGCAACACACATAAAAATTCTTATTAAAAAATAAAGCGAGGAAAAAACCCCCAAAAAACTTTCATCTCATCTGAGAAAAGAGAAGCAACTAGTACATCCTTCTCCAGAATAAACTATAAACTCACTATTTGGGGGCACCAGTCTGAAAATTACCCTGCCCACCTTAGAGTTAAAGAACTCCCTTTAAAAAAAAATGTAAAAACACAATCATTCCAAAAATGTTAATGTTCAAGAAATGAACAGTCAAAGTAATAGTATCTTTGACTTGGCTAGCTCATAAATTTTATGACATTTCAATTTTGCCATCATTTCACCTTGCATAACAAACAAGCACACATCCATAAAAACAAGCCTAAGCGGCAAAAACAATAATTCTGAAAGGATTACGGAACTTGTAACTTGTCAAAAACCTCTCTCATGACAAAATGCTTTTCTAAAGATTTCTATTTGAGTTGAAATTTCTTGATCAATCTAACAATTTATTGTTATAGGTTCTGGTTCCGTACCCTGTACATTTATTTGATGTACAAAATAAGTAGATAGTTTCCCAAACAAACACTGCAATTGCAAAACAGAGCAAACATTCAAATTTTGCAGTAAATATCTTCTGTACGATGCACGATCAGCATTAATACATTCTTGTCTCACTGCACTGCATCAGTTCACACAGTTTCCATGTATACACATTTTTATAAAGGAATGCAGTAAGAATGGGCATTGCAGGAGAATGAGATTTTCACACCTGGTTTTCTGATCAGATCTGAATATTTCTTCTAAAGACTGAGATTATAGATGTTTCATTAGTAATACAGAGAAAAAAGAGTGAGGATTCTGGTAGCAAAAACTGCTATGGTACTTTCAAATTAGGAGCACAAAAATACATGGCGAGTGTCTTTGATTTTAAATCAAAGAGACAAGCTACTTTTTAAAAAAACAAAAAAAACCCCACCAAACTCGAAGATCAGGAGCAAATAAAGAGAATCATATTTGATGATAACCAATAAGCAAAAGCTAATGTCAATCTTAGAGAATCTAAAAAAATAATGACCCAAGGAAACAAAATAGGGCGAGGATCCACCCACTTATACCGGTACTTGAAAAAGTCTACTCATGTAAATCCATCATGTGCGATATATGAATGTTTAGTGTAATGGCTGACAAGTACTGTAACAAATCTAAATGCAGATTTCTGTGATCTTTGATGAGGGAAGATTTTTTTTTTTGTGGAAGTGTACAGATACGAACCAATTGAAAAATACGGATGTAATCTGTTTAGTCATCAAAATACTATGCTGAGAGAAGAAGAAACATATAGTCTGCACATTGATCATTGCAATAGCAAGGAAAGACAAACAATGGTTTACTCTGTGAATTGAATTCTGTTTCCACAGACAGGTAAGTTACCTCAAGGACATTAATTATTCTTCTCTGCCCATGTTTTTCCAATCAAAATATCAACCAAAAACATGCTTTGGCACGTTTTTTAAGCTCTTCTCTAACATTAGGTGCCCTGCACCACAGCATAATTTTCTCAATTTAAAAATTTGAAAAGCTTTTTAAAAATAGCCTTTTTAATTGATTGAGACAAGTTCAAAATTGTAAATTTTACGAAATTTCAAAAATACAAATATCCAACCGTGTACAGGAAAAATAGTTTCCACACGAAGCCTTCAACTTTTCGGCTGGTAGCACCAGGAGGCACCGATGGTAAGCAGAAAGCTTGAGAGGTGGCATTAAACCACAGGGAAGCTGGCTTGTGAGGCCACACCACACTGGTTGTTTTTGTTTCTGCTCATGTAGATGAAGCCCTTGTCTCCCCAAGTGGGGCCCCAGCTGAAGAAAGAATACAACAATAATTGAATCAGTCAACTCAAATAGACAAGCAGAGATTGTTAAATCTTTGTCTCTTAAATTTTTTCTGCCCTTAAACAAAATTCTATTTTTGTCAGTCAAAATGGAGCTTAAGGTCACTTACGAATCAAGAAACAATTTCTTGTCAAATTAAGCTACAACTGTAACAATAATGTCTTCTACCTCAGAAAGGGAAAAGAACACAAAATCAGATTTTATATATATAAACTGCAGGGGTAAAATGTCAATGAAAATAATTGTAATCCTATATGATAACACAAACCCGCCTAAAAAATAAACAGTGCAAATAACATATCAAATTTGTAAATAACCAATAAAGTAATAATATAAATTACAAAAGAACTGTTTTAATGTGTGATTTTTTCCATCTAAATTCCCTTCTGAATGTGCAAGTCACTTTTCATAGAGAAAACATAATTCACAAAGTTATAGATATCTATTTTTGTGCAATCAGCTGAGCCTCAATTACACAATAAAAAACTTAAACCTGAAACTATGCTCAACTGACAAACTGCTTTTCTCATTCAAATCAACAAACCCATAAAGGAGAAATGTATCATCTTTTCATAGAATACTCTCATACTATGAATGTACCAAGTCATTTTAGGTGTCTATTTAGAAATAAACTATCTCATTCTCATAAAACTAGCAAATTAACAAACCAGCTGAATAGAAAACCATCAAACCCTGTATTAAGGAGTAATGTAACAAGACATTTGCTTGCAAGTAGACAAAAACGTAATGAAATAAAAAGAGGGACAATAAATAAATATTCAAGATGGTTGCTATCACAGGAGAGCCAGAGTGGTCCTGTGAACACTTGTGTTGTACTGCTGTGTTGTAGATCTACAGATGAGCCTTTTTTTTCATAAGTGTTAAGGCGCTCACAACTGCATAACTTCAGTTGAGTTTGGTAAGAATTAATTTTGAATTTTACTCGACTGGCTGCCAAAGCCTTCTCTTATGGATTCTAGGACCATCGGGGGATCTTTTATGGGCGCAACTTACACACAGGACCTCTGATATTTTTTTTTGCCATTATCCAAGAAGGCTTGGCGTTAGATTTTACCTACCTTAAGGTCAAGGGTGTGGCTGAAATACAGTTAGAGGAACAAATGAATAGCAGTAGAAGGGCAGAAGAAAGAGTCGGGAGCCTAGAGAAAGTGGAGACGAAAGCATACGACAGAACATGATAAGAGAGCAGGAAAAGAGGTGATAATAAAAAGTATTTTTTAAGAAAGGTCAACTTTCCGGCGCTGTCAGGAATCGATCCCAAGACCTTTTACATGAGAGACAAACATTGTACACCTCGACCAGGAGAGCCCCGACAAAAGTTCACAAATAACACAACATGAGATACAATGTTCTCCTTACCTGTTCTTCACAATCCAATAGTCTTGACCATCCATATTGCCATAACCGACAGCCAGCACACCATGGTCAAGCTGTGTCTCACTGCACTCTGGGTTATCGTACACACCTGATGAAAAAGGAAACCACAGTATTTTGCTCAGTAACTTTCAATATGAAAATATTTTGTTTTGGTAAGAGTTTTACGGAGCTCGCAACTGCATAAGGCAATATATGAAGATATAACGAACCTAACCAATAAGAAATACAGTATATTTGAACGTGTATCATGAGTGTTACATCCAAATCCTCAAGCTTACTTTTATTCTTCAAAAGAAAATCAGTAAGAGATGTAACATGTTATGGGATGGAGGACAATGTCATGTGTAGGCAAATTGACACATACACGATCTAATACACTTTTATAAAGATTATATAAAGTGTGTTTCCCTGACATTGAGTGCCATATGACGCATGTGAAGAAACAACAGCAACCCTTACAGTACCAAATGTTGAAAGATATTACTTCATTTCTAAATACATACTGAAAATCTATTTCAAACAGTGGTACATTGAAGTCATTTCATTTCCAAAGAAAGTTGATATAACAGCAGTTTTCATGGTAAACAAAAAGCGTAGAAATAATGGCAAAACAAACAACATACCACCACTGTATGACTGGAACATGGGACTACTGGCATCAATGGCAATGGAAATGGGTCCGATGTTTCCGAGAGCAACTTTAAGAGCCTTTTCATTTTCTTGAGGTACAACGTCAGAGCAGGCACTGATGGTAGCTACAACACGGGACTTCTCGAATCGGCATGTGTCATCCTAGAGGAAGAGTATTCAAATGAATGCAACGTATACACGATATACCTTATTTACAATGGGTAAACATATATCACTGACAATCACTGTCAAACTAAAAAAAACAAAACAACTAATACCATCAGCAATTCATGCACGTAAAAAAGTGCTTCGAAATAAAAAATTATAAGTATATAAAATAGTGTGAGCCATTTTCGCCGACTGCTCCAACATTTGGCCTATCATTATTAACACAACTTTCATCCATTGCGAGCACTCATGTGCTCAAGGCAAAATAATACAGAATATGACCCTTGTGAACACGGAGTTTTATGGAATTGTGCCCCGTTCGTATCTTGCAATAAAAAGCTCTACCTGTGATTAGCATACAGCAATTCACAAGGGAAGCGGCCGGATACCCACTGCATAAACTGTATATTACGAATGCATGGATCAGCAGAGAATAATACCCCTGCAAAGAAATTACAGATCTGCCACCTCAAGAACCCAGGTTAGGCATCAATTATATGACTCCATGAACAAGAGAAAACTGAACTCATAACAGGCGCCATTAAAGAAAATGAGCTTTCAAACCACCAGGATGTTGCCTTAAAAGCTTGATTCGCCTATGTCCTTGCCATAATAAAACCTGTTGCTTGCAAATTTTGAATACTCAAAGAACACTTTGAACAACGAAAGCTCTGATTAAAAAGTTTTTGGAATGACAATAAAATTATACGAGAGCTGAGCGAGTTCCAGAAAAAAAGACCATTTGAAGACAAAGTACATTTGCTGAAAAGAATGATTTATACTATGGTTTCATTATTTATCTATTGCATATCATACATCTAAACCAAAAGCTATAAACAGGAAAAGAAAAAGTATAAGTACCTCAGCCTCATATGGGTAGCTTTCCTCAGATTCCAAACCACCTGCATCAATGATGTACTCAAAGGCATAGTCCATAAGACCACCATTGCACCCCTGGTCACCATAGTTACCAGAGCAGTCAACCAGTTGCTGTTCTGACAGAGTGACCAGTTTGCCTGTCTTCTTGAACCACTGACCTTCCACTGACCCAGTCTGCAGATGGACACAAAAGGAGTATACATTACAATGAGGTCAACACGCAGCATGAACCTTTCGCCCTATTGAGACAATCTAAAAAATATTCTGATAAGAAAACTTGAAACAGTATTGACATAATTTCAAATAAAACGGTAGTGCTCATAACATCTTCATCATTAACTTTAAACACAAAAAAAGGTGAAGGAATTTGCACAGTAAACTAAAACATGAGACTAAATAAACGCAATCATAAATCCACACAATATGTTTCATCAGAAGAGTACAAACTTCAACCCCCAAAAAAACACACACAACAGAGACCAATACTCACTGTACTGAACGACCAGCAGGAACCACATTGTTTCTGTGAACAGAAAAGAAAATACTATTATAAAGTAAATGAATAAAATCAGTTAAATTATAAAAATAACCCATAAATTGAAAATAAAAAACACTTTCCTCCAAGCCAAAAATGCAATTTTAGAACAGTAAAGTACTTTTTATTTTAATAGTAAGAGCTATGAAACTGTGCGTCCTATTCCTAATTTGAGGCTCCCATATGAACCCAGGAGGTATATCAACAAAAGTGCGAACATTTTTCACAACAAATGACCCAATATTGGTTTTTCCAGACATAACTTAAAAAAAGATGATGTTCCAACAAACCAGTACCCGAATTTAGAAAAAAAAATCGGACTTTAACATAAAATACATCAATGACTGTGGGTAAGCCGCTTTATTTCAAATAAGTATTCATTGCTACGAATTACACCGAGTTAACCGCTCAACATTCTTCATATCTGACCTACCTGATTCTTAATGGGAGTAACATAGCCCTTCTCCCTCCAGTCCATGGCAGAGGGAACATCCTTGGTCTTTGGGTGGTACTCACTGCAGTCACGGTTGAAAGGCCTGGAGCGGGTTTTGTTGAAACCATTCAGAACCCGGTATTCTTCATTGGTCTGGAATGCAGATAACGAAGTCAAATGAAGGGGGATACCATACACAACACAAATATGAATTTATTAAAGATATATGGCTGAATGTTTAGGAAGACGAAATGGACGGGGTTTTCCAAACTGGGAATTTAAGGCACTGAATATATTTTATAATCAAAAGGTCAAGAGTTCCTCAAAAAGTAAAAAGGTGCTTGAAGGTCAGCTGCAACAGCTACTCGGAATTTAAAAAATAGTGTATGAATTTTTTAGAGCAGACTGGGCAAAAGGGAATATTCAGCACCTGTCTTTTCAATTATCCTCAACATTAGTAGGCGTACAGGGGACATGTCAAAGTTCTGGGAGACCCCTGGAAGCATATTTTGCTCTTTTCACCAAGAACACAAGCAAACATGTGCTTAGCTCAGTGAATATAAAAAGAACAAGAAGAGGAGCCAGATGGAAAAAGAGGAAAGAAGATGGATAAATGGCGAGAAAAGGAAGATAGGCAGAGAAGGGAGGAAAAGGAGAGGCCCAAAACATTAAAATTATACAATTTCACCTGCGCTGCTTGAATTTACATGACTGAACCATTCTCAACACCCCAGAAACTCACCAGGTCAGAGAAGTGGTTGATGTCCATCCAGAAACTGGAGCGCTTGTTGTGGTACCTCCAGTTGTGCCATTCGATCAAGTTCACAGTCTCCATGAAAATGGAGAACCGTTTCTTTTCTTCCTCTGGAGTTTCATAAACTTTACCTGAAAAAAAAAATTCATTCATATAAAAGTTTTTATGAAATTTTCCTGATTTAAAAACATAAGTTTCGTACATTTACAAACTAAATTTGGCATTTAGTATTACCCAAAAGCAAAACCCTGTGAAAATCACACTTAAGAACATCAGCTGTAGCCTTCAAAAACTTCATGATTTCAAATTCCTGCAATTCCACTGACTAGATAAACCATCCGCTTCTTTAAGGAGTGCAGTATTCTTATTTATCTTTGATAGTATTGCCATTTATTTTCACAAATATACTGGTAGTTTTAAAAAATGTATGATAGTTGTTAACTTTAACTTTAAAACTATTCAAGCAATGTGGGGAGTCAAATTAAAACCCATTCAAGAAGCTCAGACTCTTGTAAAAGGAATCCATTAATACGTTAATAGTAACTTTCTCAACATTAGACGAAAGTTCAGAAGCCAACCTCTTCCATTATCCTCAAATACACAAGAGGTGATCTATATTCCTACCATGTGTATCTTTGAAAGCCTTCCATGTTTCTTCGTAATCGTCATAGGAGAGCTTGTATGTCTTTGTGGTGCCAGCTGGCATCATGAGAGGATCCTTGTCCACTTTGGTCTCTGGGTACGCTGGTATGGCAGATTCAATCTTGAAATACTTCATGTAAGCGGGTCCCGCTACAGCGTAGCTCAAACATACTAGAAAGACGGTCGGCAACAACATCTTGGTGCAATGTGACAACCTGAAATAAGTAAAAAAAATAAAATCAATGGATTAAAATAATAATTCCCAAGGCAAGTCCTTACGACTCACACAACAGATTTAAAATTACAACTATTCACATAAGAGCACAACCAAGAGCTGTCTCCAAACATCACGAGTACAAAAGCAAAGGAAAATTAATTCCCTCTCACTTGATCACCGAGAGGTTAAAAAAACAATTCATACGGATGGAAAGAGAGGAATTATGCCCTGCAGAGAAAGTAATGCCGACAAAGCAGTAAGTCATGTGCAAGAGACAAAATTGGCCAGTAAACAACTCATCTTTCCACAGATACCATGACTATTTTTCCAATTTCAAAGTGTGCTGTTAAGATTAGTTTGTTCAAATATTTATTATGTTCACCCTAAGAGAAGATGTAAGATGAAGGAAATGAAACTGGAGCTTATTTATTTCTAACTTGGAAGAAACAGAAGCAACTAATAATATACAAGACCAATCTAGCTGAATCATGCACCAAGAAAGACTGAAAATTCACAACCACAAATAAATCCCAATGAACTATACAGCATAGCAGCTGTGACTGCCAGAGGCCACAAAATCATTACTAGAGCAATAAAAACAACACATCACCATGTCTCTGAGCAGTATTTTTGTACCAATGAACAGAGGCCCAACATTCAAATGAGCTGAATACATAAAAATATATACCAAACAAATCCCACTCCCACAAGGAGTACGAGTCGCTTAAGTCGCTACCACAGTCTATTTGTATCCCTGAATTAAAACCTTTGAACTGGGCATTTCTCATCATCAAAGAACTGACATCAGAAATTTAATACAGGACGTTGAGGAAGCAAAGACTTAACTTCAACAAAAACATCATTATTAATTCTGATGCGTTCATGCTCATGAAGGTCCCATACAAAAACAAACAAACAGATAAAAATAGAAAGATTTTTTAAATCAACTTTGTCTGCATACTACTGATTGTGCGTCCACACAAAAAAAACTAGAGTGGAGGCAGCTAAAAATAACAGGACTCAGTGACTCGAAGGGAGGATGGACATAATAAATGGACGATAGATACACAGGCAAGAATCCAGCATCACCGTTACCCCAGACTACAGAGTGCTTTCACCAAACCAACAACAGCACAGCCAAATATTGAAATATAAATCACAAGACTCGACCTCTGAATTTATAAACGCGACAACCACCAAAGGGGAAGTTTAACCACCACACACAGTGGCAAACAGGAAGTAAAAATAAAATGAGAAATCGCGATAACAACAAGAGCTCGCAGTTTTCCCCAACGGTTGATAAGCCTGAACGAGTGGGTTGATTGACCCCCCCCCCCCCCCCCCTCCCAGAAAAAAGGGTTTTAGGGGGGGGGAAAAAAAAACTTGGACCCCGGGCCCCCCGGAAAAAAAAAAAAGGGAAAAAAAATTTTTTCGGGGAGTAAAAAAAAAATAAAATGGGAATTGGGGATAACACAAGGGGCCCGGGTTTTTTCCCCACGGTTTAATAACGGGGGGGGTTGTTTTCCCCCCCCCCCCCCCCCCCCCCCCCCCCGACGACCTGACTTCGAGGGTGGAACAATAAACTAGGACCAGGGTCACCAAGAAGAAGAGAAAAGGATAAAAACTTTATCGCAGTCGCAGACCACAGCATAATGTCCGAGTTATAATATGCGTCTATCCTGTCACCAGAGTCCTTCAATCTAACCATTCCCCTCTGATTTAAAAAAAAAAAAAGAAGCCCTGCTGTGAAACTAAAGGAGACGAGCCTTTACCTTGTGGATGACTAAAGACGACTTGTAGTTGTAGGAAGAAAACTTGTCGTCGAGGGAGATACGCAGCGAATACCCAGATTTACAAACGCGCTGCCTTATAAAGATCACACGAAACCAGTTATATCAGCAACGGGGAGAGGAAAAAAAAAAGAGAGAGAAAGAAGTAATTTGCACTGCCCTATCGAGCGATCACTCCCCCGTCGTCACATGACTGGGGGTCACATGGTTTCGGGATCACGCGCTGATTACGCTGGTCGGTCGGAGTTTGTTGTGTGCGTGAGTAGGTGGGCGGGGACAAAGGGTTTTTAGAAGAGGTGGAAAGAGGGCGGCGGAAGAGGTGAAGAGCCTGACCCGATTTGCAAGCACTTGTAAATAAGAACATGACCCCCACCTCCCCCCCCCTCTTTTCCCTCTACGTGATGTGTGCGTGCGTGTGCAGTGTGTGTGTGTGTGTGTGTGTGTGTTTGTGAGTGTGTGTGTTTGTGTGTGTGTGTGTGTGTGTGTTTGTGTGTGCGTGTGAGGTGTGGTGTGTGTACGCGCTCGCTCATAACACAAGGTAAAGCACGAGCTTGGTGATCAAATTAAAACCTATACTACATCGTTGAGAAAATAATCTTTTCTCTGTCAAAACACTTTGGCATAGTATAAAACTTGCGTGGCCAACAAGCAAAAACAACCATGGAAGAACTGATGAGTGGGGTCAACACAAAGGTCGATCCGTCGTCACATCGTCACAGTCACAGTACAGCACCTGTGCACAGACAGGCACCAACCACGAGACCCACAGAGCTGGGTACGGAGCAGAACGTTCAAGGGCAGCGAAACCCGTCAGATCTCTCTCTCTCTCTCTCTCTCTCTCTCTCTCTCTCTCTCTCTCTCAAATTATGCTAAAGCAGAAACGAAACAAGTACGCTATGTGGGTATGTGGAACATAACGACACCTTTACAACTGCGGTTCGCTTTTATAAAAATGTAAGACCGAGAAATAGTTAACGGCTACATCCATCAGAACAATGTTAGGACACATATGGTGCGGTATCGGTTTTTAACGACCGTCCTGTTTGATGTTGAGTCAAGAGCAGCATACCGGCAAAATAAAACCCATGTTGCGCTCGGAAGAAAAAAAAGCAGACACGCAGACCAAAAAAAAAAAACCCAGAGGGAAAGTTTTAAAAAAATTTAAGACCCACCAGAGGCGCCCTCCAACCAACCGCAACGCCCCTTTCCTACCTATAACGTTACATGAACATATATTGTGCTTAAATTAGTTTGTTTAGTTGGGAGGGGGTGGTTTTAGTATGAGTTTTATGGCACTTGCAACACAATAAGGTCATATAGAGTCTAAGTGCCGAAGATTAGAGGTGTTACAAGAGAGTAACAAACAAAAAAGGAGAGAGACAGGGATGATAGATGTTTGATAGGAAAGAAGGAGCAGACCACACCAGAGCACCCACCAAGCACCCACTAAATTAGTTTAAGGGACGTGGCGTCGACAGGAAGGAGACAAGGGGGCGGAGAGCCTTAAGAGCTCCATAAACAAGACAAATTCAAGACAGCAGCAAAGGGATTCGAAAAGGGGTAAAGGGGCTATCTGCACACGCCCCTCGCTTTTATGGCTATTCGAGAGACAGAACCTCAGATTCAATTACCATCGTCAACCAGACCCTGCGTTATCTCCGAGAGAGCCACAGAAGTCTTTGTTTTTGTTTTAGTAGATGCTTTACGGCACTCGCAACTGCATAAGGTCATATGAGCGCCAAGGGATGGATGTCAACAAGGACGTCCTTACAGGGAACCAAGACTAAC